CGCCCCCTGCCGCGGGTGCAGGGTACATGTGTGGTGCAGGTGCAGGGCACGCGGCGCGTGGGCGGCCCCTGTCTTGGGTGCAGGGTACATGTGCGGTGTCGGCCCCGGGTGCTTGGCGCGTGGGCGGCCCCTGCCTCGGGTGCAGGGTACATGTGTGGTGCAGGTGCAGGGCACGTGGGTGGCTCCGCCCCTGGGCGCGCAACACATGTGCGGTGCCGGCCCCAGGCACATGCATGGCCCCGCCCACGGGCTCGCGGCGCATGTGTGGCCCTGCCCCCAGACGCCTGGTGTGTGAGCAGCCCCGCCCCCAGGCTCCCAGCAGCCCCGAAAAGTTGGGGACCACTGCCCTGGGGCCTTCTCCAACCACCCTGTTACTACTGGAGAGATGGTCTGAGGCCAACAGGATGACGTTTAATAAGGACAAATGCAAAGTGCTCCACGTATGCAGGAACAATCCGTCTCACAGAGAATGGGAAGTGAGTGCTTAGGCAGACACACTGTGGAAACAGGATCTAGGGGTCACGGTGGATCACAAGCTAAATATGAGTCAACACTGTTGCAAAAAAAGCAAACCTGATTGTGGGATGATGCATGAACAGGAGTGCTGTGCGCAAATCAGGAGGAGTCATTCTTCTGCTCTGCTCTGAGCTGATCAGGCCTCAGTTGGATGGTGCAGGTGCAGGGCACGTGGGTGGCTCCGCCCCTGGGCGCGCAACACATGTGCGGTGCCGGCCCCAGGCACATGCATGGCCCCGCCCACGGGCTCGCGGCGCATGTGTGGCCCTGCCCCCAGACGCCTGGTGTGTGAGCAGCCCCGCCCCCAGGCTCCCAGCAGCCCCGAAAAGTTGGGGACCACTGCCCTGGGGCCTTCTCCAACCACCCTGTTACTACTGGAGAGATGGTCTGAGGCCAACAGGATGACGTTTAATAAGGACAAATGCAAAGTGCTCCACGTATGCAGGAACAATCCGTCTCACAGAGAATGGGAAGTGAGTGCTTAGGCAGACACACTGTGGAAACAGGATCTAGGGGTCACGGTGGATCACAAGCTAAATATGAGTCAACACTGTTGCAAAAAAAGCAAACCTGATTGTGGGATGATGCATGAACAGGAGTGCTGTGCGCAAATCAGGAGGAGTCATTCTTCTGCTCTGCTCTGAGCTGATCAGGCCTCAGTTGGAGCATTGTGTGCAGTGCTGGGCACCACATTTCAAGAAAGATGTGGAGAAATTGGGGAGGGTCCAGAGAAGAGTAACAAGAATGATGACAGGTCTAGAGAACACGAGCTATGAGAGAAGACTGAAAGAACTGGGCATGTTTAGTTTGGAAAGGAGAAGATGGAGGGGGATGGGATAATTTTCAACTATCTAAAAGGGTGTTACACCGAGAAGGGAGAAAAATTGTTCTCCTGGGCCTCTGAGGACAGGACAAGCAGCAATGGGCTTAAACTGCAGCCAGGGAGGTTGAGGTTGAACATCAGGAAAAACTTCCTGCCAGTCAGGCTGGTTAAACACTGGAATAAATTCCCCGGGAGGTTGTGGACTATCCATCTCTGGAGATATGTAAGAGCAGGTTAGACAGACACCTGTCAGGGATGATCTAGACCAGGGTGACTCAACATGTGGCCCGCAGGTGGGATCCTTTGGACATGGCCTCCCTGGGAACATGCCCCACAGCGGCGAGGCGTCTCCCCGGCAGGGTGAGCACTGAGAGACGCAAGTGGATGGGCTGGCGGGAACAGACAGGTATGGGGGCCGGTGTTTCTAGCCCCCAGGGAGGAGGTGCCGGAAGCGCTGGGGCATTGTGGGAAGTGCTGGCTGCTGAGACTTGTGGGCAGAGCCTGAGAGGTGCCGACTGGCTCACGCTGGCCACGTTTGGGTCTGGTGCTGCGGCTTAAGGCTTAACTTTTGTATTCATGCCTGTCAGTGTGAAAGAAGTTATTTGCATATATTTGCATATATATTTGCATGTATATGCAACTGCTCTTAAGTTGCGGCCCTTGGCATGTATTGTGAGTATCACTGTGGGCCCTGGGGCTTCCAAAGTTGAGTAGCTGTGATCTAGACAGTACTTGGCCCTCCCATGAGGGCAGGGGACTGGGGGTGTGTCTAGACTACAGGGTTTTGTCAACAAAAGTCCACTTTTGTTGACAAAACTATACCCGCGTCTATACTACCGCCGAGTTCTGTCGACATAACGTTGACAGAACTCGGCAGTTTTGTCGACGGCTGTAAACCTCCTTCTACGAGGAATAACGCCTTTTGTTGACAGAAGGCATTATTGCATCTACACTGTCGTTTGCGTCTACACTGTCATGTCGACAAAGCGGCTTGCTTTGTTGACAGACCTGGATTCAGTCTAGACACTCTTTGTCGACAGTAGCTTTGTCGACAGTATCTGTTGACAAAACTTCTGTCGACAAAAACCTGTGGATTCTCTGATTCTCTGAGTCTGTGAATCTTGCTACCTTCTTGGCCTTAACTTCATGTGGCAGTGAGTTCCACAGTCCAACGATGCATTGTGTGAAATAGTATTTCCTTGTTTCCATTTTGTATTTGCCACCTTTTACCCCCTTTTCTTGTCCTAGGACACAGGAAGAACAGGGACTCCTGATCTCACTGCTCTAAACCAAACATGATTGCACTGTCTCCTTTCTGAGGTAAGAAATCCTCATAGATGGGCCTCATACCAGGGGTTTCAAAGGCCATTGATCATTCATCTCAGCTCTGAACCCACCCGAATGCTGCAATATCGTTTGTGAGGTGGGGTGACCAGTGACCTGGGCCTGGGTGCAGTGGGGCACTGGCTGCTGGAAGCGGAGGCCCAGTGGAGTCTTACACAGCAGCTAGTGGAGTAATGGTCCGAGTTAAGGTGTCTACGTTCAGAACAATACGTTCACTGGAAACCTACCGCACAGGGAGGAGTTGGTGGCACACGAATGTTCACAGTGTAACTTGACTGTCTTGCACAGAATTTCAATATTCTCCTTCATCTGGCAGAGGCAGCACGCCATGTTGCTGGGCAGTCTCCTACAGACAAAAACACGACTGAACAAAATCCGTGTTTCAGCCCCTCCATTGCACTACACCCTGCGTAAAACACAGCCGCCCCAGCAACGCCTTCTCTTCTTTGTCCTGACAGGGGTTGGGAAGTTATTTGCCCCCCAACTATAATTTCAATTCTTCACAATTTTCCATTTGCAATTTCTTTTCAAATGGTGTGAAATCCTGAAATGACGTTTCTGACAGAACTCCATGTATTCAGCAGGCAAGGTTTGGTTAAAACTGTTGTCAGCTCGAGCTTTTCTTCTTAGGGTTTGTTCTTCGTTAGTTGCATTACAGCAGTGCATGGAACCCGTTGTCACAATCAAACTTGGAACAAAACGAAGGACCTCACGGATCTGAATATCAGTTGTCTTTAACAGCAAGATGCAAAAGAAAACTATTGGGCTGGTTGGCCTTTTCTTTTCTCTGACGTATAAGGAAGGTCCCGGAGGATTTTGTAAACAGACAACAGAAAAGTAATGAACTGAATAACGTTATTTTCGGAGCGCCTTGCCGTGGCGCCTTAGGACTGCCAGTTATTGCTGAGTTACGAAGTACACAGCAAAGTGTCTGCACAGGCCCCTCAGCAGCACAGATTATGAAATTAGCGTGTTTGCAGAAAGAAGCTAAAGTTAGTGTTGGGGCAAACCAGCTACTCTGCATCAGAGGACGGGGGCAGAAAACAAATGGAAAAATCAGAATTCCATGGTGTATCCTTCTGCCCCCTTTCCCAGGCTTTGATGTTCTCCCCGCGGGCCAGGCAGGGCAGGGCCGAGGGGAGGGGTTGCCCACGGGGCAGGCAGGGCAGGACCGTGGGGAGGGGTTGCCCGCAGGCCAGGCAGGGCAG